AAGGCATGCTCTACACCAGTGTGTTGGCCTAAAGTGTAAATCATGGGAAACATGTTAAGCAGAACTGAACCTGCCAATCTGTCTCTACATGTCCAGATAGCACGAGCCATATCTGTACTTACACAACTACGCAAGCGAAAATGTACAACATACAACAAACAGACACTTGTAGCAGCTACAAGGGAACATAAAGAGTGTCTCATGTCCAGCCTGCTCGTGCTCGTGTGCCACATCGTGGACGAATCCGCGCAAGAACCAAGGCTGGGACCTAACAAGGCACCGTGAGGAACCGTGACTACATCAAGCATGGATTCAAAGCAGATTCAACTCAAAGCACTGTGGACCTTCAGTGCTGAGTGGTCCCCAAGTTGCTCTTGTGATTCTCTAGTACTGTCTCTGCGAAAGTAGACTCCGCAACTCCAGGACTTGCATACTTTTAAGGCAGTACAGACATGGACATGGAGGAAGGATGTAGTGGCAAATTGGGGCCAGTCTGATTGGGGCCAGGACCACTGTGGGAACAGCGCAGCTTCACGCTCGCAGCACGCTGCCGCTTGGCGAAGCAGTCCTTCTGCCAGTAGCCTCGAGTTATGCACATACGGCTCTGCGACGTATATCGGTAACTTCGACAGGGGGAGAGCCAGGCCTTCAATCTCCCTTTGCTTGCAGCGGTTTGGCATGCCTGACGCTTGAAGCATGTGTCCTGGAAACATGCCGAGCCATGTCGCCACGGCTAGCAGCGGCACCAGGGATGGGATGTGATCAGCACAGCAATCTTTCCGAATGGGACAAGGAAGTCGTGAGTTTCAGTCCATAATAGAAACCTTGTGGAATGAAGTGTTCACAATTCAAACACTCCACAATTTAAGAGCCTTGCCAGCCCAAGCCAAGGGCACGATGCTTATGCTTATCTGGTTGCACACAACACCGCGAACAAACATCGACCCGGCATTTCGCTGGTCTTTAGCAGGAGCGGTGTGCAGCTTATGCACGGTCATCTTGCCTGCGAACTTCGCCTGTGAGGTCAGCAGGTTCGCCCCGCAGAACACCTGCAAACTTGAGCAATGCACTGAAGACGCAGCTGAACGAACGGCTGCGGCTGCGTAGTCACGCGATGTATCGTAGGATGTTGTAGGATGTAAACACGCAGTTCAGCTCAAACAGCTCCGGGCATCAAAGTAACTTAAGTTGACTGACCTTGACAAGCCTTTTTCGCGGGGCTCCACGCTGCATGATCGCCGCCGCTTTGGGGAAGGCTCCATGTGAGCGAGGAATCGTAAGGTTTTTCGGAAACTACCTGAACATGACAGCGCACACAACGCCGTGTCCTAGGTGGACGCTGCAATGCTCGTCCTGACCAATGTTCGAACCCCAGAATGCTCGAGGAATCAAGCCACAATAAAATCACCACTGTTTCCAGTTTGCCGTGTGCTGGATTGTGACGGCAACGATGCTTGAGAAGTAACGAAGTCAGAGCATGTTGAAGCCAAGAACCTGATCAGTCTGAAGCGGCATCATCCAAGAATCGTTGTGTCCAAAAGCACCGCCTCCGTTCGGGACACAAGGCACTGAGTACTCCACGCATCATGAGCATCATCCGGGATTCGATGTGTCCAACAGCACCGAGTCCGCCAGGCATCATCAGCATCATCCGGGGTTCCCTGTGTCCACAAGCAGCACTCACGAGACAGCTGAAAAAGCGATCCCATACCCGGGCAGTTTTGGACCAGTAAACAGCAGCAGGGGCGAGGATTGCACTTTAAATTACGGAAGCACTTCGGGGGAACGACACGGCAATGATGCGCATGTTGCTCGCCCGGGTTCGTTGTGTTCAGAATCGCGCAAAACGATCCCCAAATAGCTCCGTACCACCCGGTTTTTGCACCTAAACTGCAGCAAACGTGAGGATTGCACGTGAAACCTCCGTCACGTCGTCGAGGGGACGACGTGGCGATGATGCGCATGATGCTCGCCGGGGCCGCAGCCCAAAAGGGATGCATTTCGTCCCACATCAAAAACTCACAAGAAGTCCAACACGAAAGGCCCTGTGAGACATCGGTTTTTGGCCTCACCTGCACCAAAAAAAGGGCGTCTGTGTCTCACTCGGGGGGTCCGCCCCCCAGACCCCAAGTTGGAAGCATAGCTTTATTTAGAACGATCGCCTACGCCCCTTCGGGGCTAGCGGCTAGCTTTCGTGATTAAAAGACAATTGTTTCAAGAGCTGTTCTTTATTGAACAGACTTCTAATGAAACCATGTTTTGGGAGTTTCAGCATTCTGTCTCAGGTGTGAGGGACCTGATTTTCTCCAACAGCCATTACTTCTCAGCGATTTCTGGGCGCTCGGCCTTTTCCTGGTCGGCAGCGTTGGCTGTGGGCCCTTCTTCAATCATCTCTGACCTGGCGTACTCTCTGTTGTGGTATACTGATCTTGCGTCCATTGCGTGGCACTCGTCAACCAAAATTTGAGAGCACGAAACAACGTGGCACAGAGCATTCGCCTTGAAGCCCTGGACAGCTCAGGAGACCTATTACTCCTTTGAGGAGCACGAAGCTCCGCGCTAGTGTAGAGGGGAAAGCTCTTCGATTGGCCCAAGCCCTCAGTCCTGTACCATAGGGTTATCACAGGAGCTCTCTTGGCTCAAGCCCCTGTCAACCAAGTGACGGGATAGGTAATCATCAGCACACCGTAGCTCAGTCGAAACATGCACTCATAGGTCTCTGACCTGGCGTACTCTCTGTTGTGGTATACTGACCTTGCACCCATTGCGTGGTGTACTGACTTTGTCAAGTGGACCATCTTTAAACCGACGGCTTCATCCATCACACGGTACAAAAAAGTCTATACAGGTCTGTACAAGATGATGGCAGATGCCGAGGCCATCACTCGTCAACCAAATTTTGAGAGCACGAAACAACGTGGCACAGAGCATTCGCCTTGAAGCCCTGGACAGCTCAGGAGACCTACTACTCCTTTGAGGAGCACGAAATTCCGCGCTAGTGTAGAGGGGAAAGCTCTTCGATTGGCCCAAGCCCTCAGTCCTGTACCATAGGGTTACCACAGGAGCTCTCTTGGCTCAAGCCCCTGCCAACCAAGTGACGGGGTAGGCAATCATCAGCACACCGTAGCTCAGTCGAAACACGCACTCACAGGAGAAAAGTTCCTCCTTGCCGGGAGATGGTGTCAGCTTTTGAGGTAAGCTCAAAATGCCGCCGCAGTCATTGCTCACCTTGCCCAAGGTCTTCAGGACAATGTGTGCTGACCAGTCGTTCTCCTCGACGGGTGTCACGATGTGGGGGATGAGTTTCAAGAAGTTTTCGATGGTTGACAGCGTGGAGAACGCTTTGCCAATCATCTTGTTCTTGTTGGTTACATAGAAGATCTGCACGAAGCCCCGGACTTTGCCCCAAGCGGTGAGGACCTTGCTCATGCCTTTATACCACTCCTGCACGTCAGGCACCTTGTCAAACATATTCAGGTTCAAGGAAGGAGCAGAAGCGGCCATACTCCCAATCCACCTGAAGGACTCCATCAGCTTAATGTCATCATCACTGAATATGTCATCCTTCTGCATACCCCTTCGGGCTGCAGTGCAAAATAGCCTGATTACGCTCCCGTGCATGGCCACAGCGCCCAGCGCCAATGCCTGCGTTGCCTTCTTCTTCGCTTGGTCATCTGTGAGAAGTGCGCCTTCCAAGGGCTGCTGATCATAAGGCGCATTGTTCCAGTCCCGAACCGTCTTTGCATCCAGCATGCGCTGCGTCCATGCATCGCTCGTGGAGAAGGGGGCATGGCCCATCACGAGTTTGTAAAAGATAGTTGTTGGGATAGCCGCAATTAGGCACAAGAGGTCAAGGAGAGAAAGATCGTCTCCAGTCAACAGCTTATAGAGCCAAGAGATCACTGGGATGTCAATGGTGTGATCCAGCATGCCCATCAACTGGTCCACAAAGGCCTCACAAACAGTGAAGAGCTCCAAGATCATATCCTCAGTGCCGTCAACTAGAGCGATAGATATGATGCCAGCAATTCGCTCCAAGACTGTAGTGAGCTCTAGGTCGCTGAACTGGTCAATCACTTGGGTCTTGACTTGGCCCGCTGCATCCACCAGAGTTTGTTCCGCCGACTCGCAGAGGTTGACAAGCAATTCGAGGGCCGATGGAACTCCGGGGTCCACCTTGTTTGGTGTGGAGGCACGGGTTGCGTTGCCTTTGAAGTGATGCTTGCCCAAGTTGCCCGGGGCATTTTGCTTGGCACTTGGATCTGGGCTCTTGAGTGCCTCAGCGTTGGTCGTCTTCAGGCCCTGCTTCACGCCCGTGAACTCTGCGATGTTCTTCTTGAAGTCATCGAGTGCCTTCTTGGTGGCGGCCCTGGCCGAGGCCAAGTCATCGACGAACTCTGCAGCAGTCAGCAAGATGAACTTCTTGATCACCCGGTGTGTCACCAGAATGTCCTTCCAACCAAAAAGGAACTCCAAAAACCTGATCACCCATTCAATGGCCATCTTGATCTGGTTGTAGACCCAACGAATGGCGCCGCCGATTGCTTCGAGGGTGTCCATCAACGCCGCATAAATCTTGCCCTCAATGACAGCCAGGATGTGCCAAGCATCTGAGATCTCATCCTTCACGAACTTGATCGTCGCCTTGAGTGCAGACACTAAAGCATTGAAGAGGTCCCCGATGTCGACCATCCTGGCCGAGCCCAGATCAAGGTCTATCCCTGACACCTTCAGCTTCGCTGCTCTGCGGGTGTGCGCAAGCCTGCGAGCCGCCAGCGGCAAAGCCGAGTTCCCCACGTCTTTGCTCGCGTCATCCAAGTCCTTATTAAGGTTGGCGATCTGGTCAAGGGTGTCGTCAGGTGTGTCTGGCGGGATCCAGGGCGTCTGATTGCCATGCATGTCCGTGACCTTGGCATCTCGCAACTTGTCCTTGCTATTCAGTGCAGAGTTGCGCTTGAAGGCCGCATCCATGGGGTTCACCTGCATGGGCACGGCTCCCAGTCCCTGCATGTTGGTCGCAATGGCAACATGAAAACGCGTCGCCACTAAGCTGTTGGTCAACTCCACGACGGTGATGGTCCCATCCTGGTCCGTCTGCACGGTCACCGGCTGAGGGCCCACCTAGGTCAGCAGATTGACCAAAAGATGTCTCAGGATGTTCATGAGGATAGCTCTGCATACTCTCTGGATGAGATGCGAACACGGGTTCTCTTAATGAGATTCTCTGCCCTTCTTGGGCTTTGGTTAGGAGTGAGGAGTCAGGGTCTAGGTTGCAGGGTTTAGGGTGTCGGGTTGAGGCTTCGGGCCAAGGCTTGAGAGCTTAGGTATACAAGCTTGCCAATGCTCCACTTGAAGGAAAGGTGACGCTTCTGCTCCCATCAGTTGGCCAACTTGAGGTTTCAGCCAGCTGACCTAAACCCTAAACCCTATACCCCAAAACCCTAAACCCTCATCAGACTGGGTGAACATGTAGACAAGGGGAGACAAAGGACGAGGGAAATAGGAAGAAAAGGAATGTGAAGCACGAGAGACCCCCAAACAAATCGTTTTGCAGGTCTTCGCACTGCCCCACCTGGTAGTAGAGGTGGTTGATGCTAACCGAGGTCACAGTGGTTGAAGTCAGCTCAACTGCTACGTTGGCAGCTGTCATGCCTGTCTTCTGGTTTGTCACCTTGACCTCTGTGGTGAAGCTTTGAATAGATCGCGAGTCCTGCTTGTAGCTCGTTGGCGGCAGAGCGATGCTCTTCGACGTCCAGAGCCCAGTGCCAGGCGTCTTGATGCACTTTATCAGGCTTGTGCCCGTATGCGCAAAGAAGGTGTTTGCCAAGAACTTGCGATCTACATAAGGCGAGATTGCATCAACGCTGGTGAGGATGGGCAGCGGGACGCTCCAAGCATCAGAGTCGGCAACCTCGTCCGTTTTGCAGTTGAGGTAAAAGACCTGGTTACTGCCATTCAGCCCCCAAACTGTGACGTCACCTTTCTCCTCTGCAGCAAAGAGCTTCTTGACACCTGCCAAGAGTGTGGGTTCTGAGACGACCTTTGTTGCCACGGCATCGTTGCCCTGGTTGCTGGCAGCGAAGTAGTAAAGGCCTCCCTGTGAGGCGACGTACAAGTCGGAATCATTGTCGCCGTTGCTGTGCCGCACCGTGGCGATCGCGTCGGGCACCAAATCTCCAGGGAGCCGCAGTCGGGAGGCGACTGGAGGCACGATGGGGTCGAAGGCATTGTAGAGTGGCACGTAGACCAATTGCGCCACGCGGTTCACCTTGCCCATGGTGTAGATGCCATCCACGAAGTCACCCTTGGCGCGGCCTAGGGCAGACTTGTAGGTCGAAGCCTCGAAGTCAGCCGCCATTTGGTGTTTCATCCACAAAGGCTGCGACTTGGTCACATCTATCCAGTAGCGCTCCAGGAGAGGCTGAGCTGCTTCCTGGTTCCGCAGGATGTCCACAACAATGTGCTCGCCATCAGAGGCCTGGGTCAGCATGATGTTCGCAATGTTCAGCGGCTGAGGCACTGGCACCGGCTTTCCAGAGCTGTCCACTGCATTGAAGGGTGCATGCAGCCAGGGGATATCCTTTGTCCAATTAAGGTCTGCATCTGAGTTGTGGAGACTCAGGTACAAGTTAGAGGTGCCCCCGGCTTGGACGCACATTGCGACATGGACCTCCCGCGACGTACCCTTCCCAGCTACCTGCGAGACTCCGAAAGTGCTCACGGTCCCCCCCTTTGGAAAGCTCTGCTTGATGAGCTTCTCTGACAAGCTGCGCACTGTCCAGCCATGCCTTGTCTTCCCTGACTCCTCCACGACGACGTTGAAGTCGTCTTCTGTGCCAATCATGAAGAGAAGCCCGAGGCCTGCATCTGTCTGCAGCGCCTGAAACTTTTTCTGTGGCTGAAGGATGTCTGACTGGATATAGTTCGTCATGAGCTCCGCAGAGGCTGCAATGTTGTAGGTGACCTCCTCTACAACAGGCGGCTCTGGCTTAATCACAGGCATGATCATGAGACCTGCTTCATGCATCCAAGCGTTCATGCTTTGGCTCGCATACCTCAACTGAGTCACCAGGTCACAGCTGTCAGAGAAGAAAACATGAGACATGACAAAGGTGTCGGCACCGGGAAAGACCCATTGATGATACTGGTTGAAGTTGTCTGCCAAGCCCGCTGCAAAATACTTGAATGCATTGTCGAGCAAATTGTCCACATCGCCCTGAGCTTTTGACAAGCCGTCTTTCAAAGAGCCCTCGAGGCCAGTAATACCCTCGATTCCTTTCCCATCGAAGTCCCAAGCCGAGGAGTTGTCCTGGGTGGTAAGTGTTTCGGTCGCGGTGAGTTTGCCGTCATCGCTGACGGCCAGGTCAAGTGTGATGGTCTTTGTCTTGTTGTAGTAGTCCTTCAATGGGAGGTCGGTGTAGTGAACACAAAGCTCATGGTGATGAAAGCCCATTGCAACCTTTGCCGTCATGGTAATGATGATCTGCGTTCCCTTGAGAACAACTTGCCCATCAAGGTGATAGTTGTAGTCCATGAAGATGCTAACAGTGTGGGATGAGTTCTCCGAGTCATCCTTGGAGTTGTGGGTGAAGGATAATGTGTGAGTCAGCATACCCCCGCCCGTCACTGGTGATGGCTGGGGTAGGGCGACGAACGAGGTTGGATTCTCGGAAGCGGCAATTCCCGTCGATATGGTGAAATTCTCTCCGCTATGGTGTGTTGTGCAGGAAGTGTCAAAGCAAAGCCCCCTACTGGGGGATGCCGCCTGCTGCGTAAGGTAGCTTACAATGAAGCTGCGTCGCACTGACAGGACGCCTGACGTTTGGCTCACGTCATTGGCGTCCACCCAGTTCCATGTGAAGGTTTGAATGCCAGGAGGTTTGTTGTTGGTGGAGAGGTTGTATACTAAGCACGATGCTGGGCTTTGAGTATCTTGGCCGTCGACCAGGTACGGTGCTGTCGAATAGGCCAGTGACTGGAATGCAACCGTAGAAGCTGGCGTCGGGTCCTTCGTAGATGTGATGGAGTAGCCGAAGATGGGGTTGCCAGTCTGGCGCAATTGGCTGAAGTAAGCTCCTGTGAAGATCTTAGACATCATCGCCCATGTAGGGCCGAAGTCAGTGTTGTCGGTGACACCCTTTATCACCGGGTCGGCCACAAGCGACGCCGTCTCCAGATCCAGGAAAAGCTTCTGCATGCTGAAAGAGTTCGGGCCAAACTTGTCTATGAACTGCTTCATGCGTTCTCGCACATCGTCCGGGACCGGGGCGTTGGGGTTGATGGTGTTCAAGGTGAGGTCCACCAAAAAGTTGTAGTACCACGCCGTTTTCGCACTGGAACCCGAAGGCTGGATCTTGTTGATCGCAAAAGCTTGCTCGAAGCCAGAGTATGTGAGGCCACATATCTGGAATTCGGACATCGTCAAGTTGAAGGAGACCGGACTGTCCGAGTGCTTGCCCAGAGTGATTATGGATGGTATTTTGGCTAGAGGTATTTTTGGCAGGCCACCCTTGGCCTTGAAGGCTCCAACAAAATGGGCTTTGGCCAAGTTGAACACGCCCTTGTTTGTTTGGTCAGCACCGTCGGTCAAGTTGAAAGGGTCCGAGCCACCGGCCTGGCTCACAAGGGTCTTGTAATCGACTTCCACGATCTCACCCTTGGAATGCGGCTTGTAGGCGTAACACTTGAGGACTTCCTGCAACTGCGCTTTGGACAGGTACTGCATCATCACGGCATTCACACTGGCCTGTGTCACCGCCACAACAGCGTCAATGTCCTTGAATTGCGCAGCTGACAGATTGCTCGCGGAGCCGCTGGCAGAGGCTCCGACAACATTTCCACCTAGTTGGGATCCAGGCTGGCAGCAACCCATGCTGGACTTTTGCAAGCTTGTTTGCAGACGGCTCGGCATTCAAGCGTACGTGAATGCGACTGTGACTCTTAGCGACTTAGCTGGGTGAGATATGCCCTTGGAACACTCCAATTTCACCGCAGGCCTTCATGAGACCGGAACATGCGCAAGGCGATGGGATGTTTCAGCGCTGACATTCGAGTTGGTGATGGACGCCTGCGTAGGTCCATGGGTCAAGAGCCAAAGCACACTTGGAGGACTCAAAAAATCTGTGCTGCAGCTCTTCGGCCTAGCCTAGCTAAGAGATTCGGTCTTCATTGTCATTAAACGGACATAATCCAGAGTGCTAGCCCCAAAACCTGTGGGTACATTGCTACCTGTTCTGCAGTTTCCCGCATATCAGGAAATGAATTGGACACGGCCCGGCCCTCGGGCGAGACCTGGAAGCCTGACACCAGCCTGTCAGACACAGCACCGTCGTAGTAGTTGATCCGATGCCAGGCTCAGATAGGTGGTCATTAAGGTGAGCAAAAGCTTCATCCTTGTTTGACTCAACCCGCATGTTCCGTTCAAAACCCGTCAGAAAACCGATGGTTCTGAAAAGATATCGATGATGAGGCCAGAACTGAATGTGGCTATTACTGTCGTCGTCGTCGTCGTCGTGGTCGTCGACGCCGTCGTCGTGGTCGTCATCGTCGTGGTCGCGGTCGTGGTCGTCGTCGTGGTCGTCGTCGTGGTCGTCGTCGTGGTCGTCGACGTCGTCGTCGACGTCGTCCTCGTGGTCGTCGTCGTGGTCGGTCGTCGTGGTCGGTCGTCGTCGTGGTCGTGGTCGTGGTCGTGGTGGTCGTGGTGGTCGTGGTGGTCGTGGTCGTGGTCGTGGTCGTTGCTGCGTCGTCGTCGTTGTTGTCGTCGTCATCGTCGTAAGTGCGTAAGTGCCTTCCGATGCTTAATTTCATGTGAAGCTTCACGCTCGTTTTTCATGCCGCAGATTTAAGGTTGAGGGCCCTTGCAAGTGCAAGGAGCGATGACCTGAAGAAGCTCAAACTGCTGCACATGTTGCAGTCAGAACACAATCCAAACGCCGGCATCAACTCAAAAATCCTGAAACTTCCCGATGCTGAGCTGCTACACCATCCTTTTCACAACAGAAGGTGCTGCAATGCGTGCGCTCCCGCCTGGGCCTTCATGGGCCCATGCTGGGGCTCCAGGCCCGTCTGCAGAAAGGAGACCTTTGCCTTCGAGACTTGAGAGGGCCAGGGGTTGGTAATCCGAAGGCCGTCGGCCCTGCCATTCCCTGCTTTTTTGCTGAACTGAATGCATGATACCACGGTCCGTATGAGAAATGTGTGCTTTTTCGCGCAACCGACCACGTGAAGACCTACACAGAAACACACATAGTCGCCACAGCCCCCTTCCCCTTGAAGCCGAGTGTGGTCACCCTGTTTCTCTCCAGAGGAATGTAATGCTTCAAGGCTTTAAGACTTATCCTCATCGACTCTGTCGTGAATGAGTGAACTTAGCAGTATCATCTCCTTTGCTCATTCCGCGCTTCGAGCATCGCGAAGCGCTTTCCGCTGCCTGTTAATTTTCGCTGCCTGTAGCACGCACATTTTGCGCTCAGTAGAGGTATAGTACACCCAATCCTGGCATGGCTCTCAGGTTTGAGAAGTTCGAGTCTCTGGTGGTTTAAGCATCTGATTCGTGCCGAATTGTTGCGAGACAAGGGCAAGTGATGCTTCAACGAAGCCTTTTGAAACAGGTGGTCGCTTAGGGTCTGAAGCATGGCTTTCCAGTTCCAATCTTGAGATTCCTGGCTCCTGAATGCTCGCAATCTGTGAAGTAGATAGGATGTGGGGCCTGTAGGGTTACCGGCCATTTGTAGTTCCAAGCTCTGCTAGCAGCAGCATGTCGTTTTAAACATGTACTCAGACACTCAGACTCTTTCGTCTTCACTTAGGGCCCAGGCTCAACAGCTGCGAACTCAAAACACTGGACTTCGAGGCATGCCGTTGTCAACATCTCGAATGAATTGACGATGCTTCGGTGAGGCTCCTGGTCTTTGATGCCTTGAACATCCAGGCTTCGCTAGCTTCGCTAATTACAAGCCCTTGCAGTCGGAACCCTTGGTCCTTGTTGAGGCCGTTCGCCGCAGACATGTCGAGGTGTGATCGGCCTTGGCCGGTTCTCTCCGATGCACCTAGTCACTTAGCCGATTAGCGGCGCTACTTGGCAGGGTGCGGCCAACGTGCAACAACCGAGAGCTGTGATTGAACACTCGGTATTTCTGAATCTAGTGTGTCTGCAAAACTTCGAGCAGATGAACTGCCACCTCAGATCCTGTATATGCGCCACGCCTCACTCCACTGCTAGATCCATATGGTCAGTGGCGATCCAGAATGCGAGGGCGAAACGCGGGCAACCAAGCTGGAATTGAAGTCTGACACAGAGTGCGGCTGAAGTGCACAACTTCGGCAGCTTGTGGAAGTCGTTGGGGCCCGGGGGTGTGCCATCCGGCTTCCATATCTTCGGCCCCTTTCACAACAGCAGATGAAGTTTGGGGGTTACTAAATTACAGCAAACGGATGAGATTTCATTACACGTTCTTTTGGCTCCAACATGGCAGCCCCGAAGGTGCTACATGGTCTGTCTGCATGAAGAAATGTGATGGGAGTGGGTCGCGGCATCCAGGTTGTTGAGCTGCTTGGCGGCTTGGCTCGTGCTAAGCGTGTCCTCTGGCAGTCAAATGATTGAGTGTTCTGCCTGCTGCGCAGGGAAGTGTAGAGGTAGCTTTTGCAGCACGACTCGGCAAGGGCCCTTCTGAACCGGACCGGAGAAGTGTAGGTATCGTAGAATTCTAATCCAGCACTGCTGGAGGCCTCTTTGGGGTCAATCTCCACCTCTTCCATCTCCTTGACTCGATGAAGTGGGAGAGAGGTGGAACAGTTCCATCTAAGAAGAACCTTTTAGTGGACAGCTTTGTTCATCTGTGTCAGGGGTAGGCAGAGAGTTCTCCATGGACCCCCCACTTCAGAGAAAACTGCCAAGCCCTCAACTCACATGCAACTGGATTTCCATCGAAAACCAGGGCTTGGTCCAGAGGCCTTAGTAGTGACGTGATGTTGTCTGAAGAGAAGCCGAGGGGCCCCATCCACCTCCACAGTCACGTGGCGCTCACTGATGCCATCGTAGAGTTTGCACGGCTGAAAAGTCCGGGCCACCTCCAATTCAAAATACGAGGTTTCCTTGAATGTGGGGCCCCAGATGTACAGTAACTACTAATAAGAAGGACCAGGCTTTTGGGGTCTGCACAGGTTCCCACATGTTTTTGTCGACCCTCTAGGCCCAAACATTACCATTCCGTGTGTGCAGACATACTGGGCGAAGCTGCAAGATCATGATGCATGGACTGGGTGTTCGCATAATTTTGAGGAGGTCGTCGGGTATTCTGGCGCCCCTAGGCCCCTAAGCCACAAGTGCACCTGCTCCATGGTCATGTGTGGACCACCGCTCATGGTGCTCAGGCTTTTGCGCCCAACCGCAAGGGGAGGGCCTTCTCAAAAGATCGTCCTATTTTCCGCCTTCCGAGCCAGGCTTACGGGTGGATCCCGACACGTCCCCACATCTGGCAAGCTTGCTTATCAACATGGCTCCGACTTTTGCCCGCGCAAGCAAAAGCATCTTGTGTGGCGCAAGCCCACTAATCACCAATATGGGGTTCCTGCAGTCTTTCTTGCTAGACTCGCCCTGCTTTGTTCTGGTGGGCGTCTAGAGTCTAGAGTGGATCAATGGTGCTGGCTAGCTTCGTTGACATTAACGCATTTAGACCGAGCGGAACTCCATAACTCTGCACCTGTGGCTATCTTCGCAACCTTCCGAACCCTGTTGGAAACAAAACCGGCAATCGGAAGGGGCTGAGCCACATGGTTGGGTTGTCGAAAGTGTCAAAACATCCTGCTGTTGGTTTCTTTGGGTTGGCACTCACTGGCTCAAATTTGCTATGAGCATCGGCAACCCAGATGCCGGGGCGGCGCCTATTTCAAAGCGGCGCCGGAATTTCTTCCGTTGCTCGTGAAGCATCTCTTGTCGATGTATGATAGGAGTGCTGCAGTGGTTCCAGGAAGCCGCTGCCGTAAGTTGTAGCAGGCTTAGGTAAGTAAGCTGGAGAACGACCATCAAGCGCGACAGGTCTGGTCAGGTCATCAGGTACCGGCTAGTCAGCAACATGCAAAGATACAACTTTCACCGGTGGAAACTTCAAAGCTCCAAACCCCCCGTGTGAGCTTCTGCGGACCCATTGTCAGCATACGTATGATCCAAGCAAAACCAGCTTCAAACCAAGGAATCCCAGACATGACTAAGGTGCAGGACTTGTCCATCTGTGTCCACCTACAACAAATGACGGATCGCCCTGGGACCCAGCGTGCTGCAGCGGCTGTGGCTGAGACACGAAAGTCTTGCGACATCTTGGCAGCAAATATACTCGCTTGTAAAGGAACACCACCATCACAACGGGTTCATGAACATTTGAGGTCCTCATGTCTTCATTTGTTGAAACCGCGGGGATCTGATGTCCATGAGCAGAATGATGTGCTACCCGGCTTAGTGCATGTATACTGAAATCATGCCGCCAAGCATGTCGGAGGCTTCGCGTGAAAACTTGGCATGTTGCATCCAGCCGACCACATGCAGCGCCACTTCTAATGCAAGTGGGAACACATGCAGCCTGGACTTGGGAGTGTTTCACTTTCTGAACTGAACGAAGCTTCCGACACAGGAGCTGCCCTAGGACCGCTCTGCTAGGTCTTCCCGAATCCAGAGGCAGGAGCCATTTTTGCCATTTTTCTGCTGCCCTAAGGAGCCTAATTTGAGTAACCTCAAAAGGAATATGACATAACATAAAGACAGGCTATGAATAAACAAAACAACACGCCTTATGTATTCATTTTTCTCGGTTAGCTTTCCTTATCCAACCTCTCAGCTTAGCGAGGCGCACTCCGCCTGCAAGAAGAAAGCTCGCTAGAAAGCCGCAACGAATGCCAAGCACTTCTTCGAAGGTTTGGGGGCATGCCAGTCGGGGCAAGTCACCTCAATAAGAAATCCGGGGGAACAGCCGAGGTGTCCACCAGAGCGGTTCTGACTCTCCCTGGACTGAAACTCCTGCCTCGACGTGTCCCGCGTCGCGGTCTGCTAGGAGGCGCTCCTGCACAGTAGAGCAGCTCCAAGCAAATTCAAAGTAGAGCAGCTTGCCACCAGCACCACCATTCGCGATGTGCCTATCAGAAGAAGTCGGCTTCTATGACGACGGCAGCTAGTTGGGCACACTCCGTCGTACTGCTCATACTTGCCATCTCGATCACCGCCGCAGGCGAAAACTATTGACTAATCAAGTTCTTTCGCTCTCTTTAAATGTACGGCATGGCATGGCACGGCTTTGTCTCCACACTACGCGAATCCTCAGAGACGCGAGAACAGTCCAGCTTTGGCAAGTTGTCATGTTGGTGCCATGTCTCGAACTCGGCCACCGCGCAATGACTTGCGAAGGGCTGCTGAGGCTGGTGCCCAATACCGTGGTCGCTGACGTGGTTCGTCGTTTTCGAGGACCTGGCCGAGAACTACACCGCACCTCCGACCAGTTTAGAGGTGCATAGACGCTGAAGTGGCGTGCGAAACAATACTGAAGAAAAGCTTCTCGTTGAATCAAAGAAGCTGAGAACCATGTTAGATTCCTGTTAGATGTGGAGCAAGCGATAGAGAGCCAGTACTCCGCTCGGCACCTGGTCATCGGGGAGCTTGATCGTTGCCATCGACTCCTCGGCCTGCGGCCTGCGGCGCTGTGTACGCACGTCCGTGCGTTGGGTCAGGGGGTCAATTTCCCAGACCCCAGCCACAAGCCATTAAAGATAAAGTCCTTGAGACGACTGCATTCAACGTGACCATCACGTTTGTATGACTGAAACCCATCGCTGAGCTACTGGCGTGTTCAAGAAAGCGGCTATTCGAACAACGACGTTGCACCAGCTCCGCAACACCATCCTCTCCTGCACCGGGGCTCTGCCTACTGGGCTTCTGAATCGTGCTGAGACTGGCCGCTTTCCAGAGTCCAAGGCCCACCGCTCATCTCTCAGGCAAGCAGGTCAAGCACACGCCAGGAGTGAAAAGGCGGCGTTCGGCTCCTCTCGCCGAACGATGACGGCATGGCCTTGGTGTCACGTGCCACGCAACATGAGTAACATGAGGCATTCATCCCTACTACACCTTCTGGGCATCCGGCGCTGGTTGATGCTGAAGCTGTTCTGGCCTGTCAGCGACAACACTAGAGGTAGCAATATTCACTGTGGTGATACTGACTTTCGGGCGGTACACTGATACTACAATAAGTATATATACATCATTCCCGGTGCTGCTGCTGCGACGGTGGAATTGCAACATCACTTTCTTCATAGTAGTTCTTTGGAGTAGCGTTCCCGCTCCACGGCCAAGTTGCTGTCGTCTTGGGCCAGCAGCCGGTCATCCTGCACCGGACACGGCTGCAGGACTGGAGGCCAGCACGAGCTGAGGAAAAGAACCCTAAGGCCACACAAGGATGATGCTAATGCAAACCATGACTATACTGTCACAAACGCAACAGTTTTACCTTTCCTGGCACTGACTTCGCAGTAGGCGTTGGACCTTATGGTCGTTGCAAAAGAGCGCTAAGATAGACAATGCACCTCAAGTACAAGAGAAACTTGCAAACGGCAACAGTAATGCCCATTGCGACAGCCATGTCAGTGGCAAAAGCCATGTCAGCAGTAAGCGGCATAGTCGTCGTACTCGTCAGAGCAACTGGAGCTGAACAAGGGCCATAAGTAGTACTCGTAATCGTCATAACCGGCCCTCAACATATTCTGACAGCCACCCCAGCCACCTTCCCATTCAAGACATGAACTAGCGCGTCCTCCGAGATGGTCCCAACATGCTGTGCCTCGAGGCTGCATCGGAGTCTGCTTCTCAGAGTTCAGTGGTTGACAGACATTGCGCATTGCAATGCTGCACCAAGCCCAGCGTGCCGGAGTGTTTGCCGCCAGTGGTGACAAGACAACGAAAGGAGCGCTGATTCAAGACTCCGGGCGCTTGTTACACCAGCGGTAATGCTCAGCATGTACACCTTCGTGTTTCAGAAGCACTCAGGCTGGTGCCACTCGGGCCAAAGTCTGCCTCTTGACAAACTCCCATGCGGCGCGCTCGCTGGAAACCGACCTGGCACTGGCTTCGTTTTGTGTTGCGAAACAACTGCCGGCTGAGCTGTGGGCAAGGGCAGCCGTGCATAATGCTCCGGACTCCGGGTGTTACACCTATAGATAGCATGCAGGAACAGCTATCGTGACAACCTGCAGGCATGACAGAAACTTCTGGTAGTTGATTTTGAACACAAGGAGTCTTGACTTTCCATGCTGATCTAGCTGGTAATCTTGAACTCTTGTCGATCGTGTCATCCAGGGCATTTCTATGGCTTTATGGATACGAACATGTGAATACCTAGCTGGATGTGTGCCCTTCTACAGAGTCCATCAAGGAGCCAGGGCCACAGAGGAACTCTACAGAGAGGAGGCTGCACCTTCACGTCACAAACCTCGGAACTGCCCAAGAGCTCTCACATTCACCGGCTGATCTCATGAGAACGCGCTTGGGATCCTTCAGCATCCTTCAGCTGGGCTTATGCACTGTGGAGGATACAGGGCTGAAGGCTGAAGGTGGCCATAAGGCTTCGGAAGGGTGTGCTTTCAAGATTCTGCTACAAGTAGGTCAAGTGCATTTCTTTCATTGCAGTCTTTTCGCTGCTTCTTGTCATCCTCTGCCTTTCCAGGCGTTCTTATTCCTTGAAGCGACAAAGCTACGGAGGCCCGCGGCTGCGGAAAAAAAGAACCCGCCTTGGCACAAGAGATTTCTATGGCATGAATATCTGTCTGAGGCTCTGGCTACAGTGACGGCCTGCACAAACGCAGCTGTCAGATTTTGATATGTGCACACTATTGTACACTGCTGCTCGACAACACCGGCTACTTTCGCCAGGAACATTTCAGCAAGAACAGCCCGACATGGTATTGTAGTAACATCGTACTAGTTCTACTGTTGGTGCACTCGGCGACCTCCTGGGCGGCGTGATGCCTTGGGCAGGCCATCCACTAGTGAAGTCGGGCTCGGCGCTGAGCTCTCTGCACGTGTGGGGTTCGGTTCGGCTGTTTCGTCAACCGGAATGGAGTGGCCGGGTCAAACTCAGTGGTACTGCAACTGCCGGTGATACAGTCGAGTTTTGCGAGTTGGGATGTCATTTGCACTGCAACCACGCCAACCGCAACAATCACTCTGCAAACACATTCGGCGTACCACGTCATAAGTTGTATGTGCGAAAGTTAGTCCGCTCAAAGAAGTATTCGCGCTGTTCACGAATTCGCCTGCGGGGCTACAAACTCGTGTTCACAAGCTTCCACGGACAGACTTGCAGGTTATTCCTCCAACACTGTCCTTCCCGGAGTTTTAGCAAGAGTTCTAAAGGGCCCTAACTCGCTGACCATCGTCTCCGCCATGAGTGCTGATCCACAGAGATTCAGGACAGTAACAGCACAAGCAGAATACATGCAGTATTTCGACTGGCACCCTCGCTCAAGGCATGCACGGCTTCCAGACAAGTCCGAAACTAGAGCATCTTACTCCACAGCTGCGTGCAAGTCCCAACAAAGAGCAACAACAAACCAACGTGTGTATATCATGTAAATCATGTTAGAACCTAAAACATGCACCACCCAAGACCTCCAGGCACTCTATTCGGCGATGGCAAGCTGTAGCGATCAATTGGGAACTCCGACATCTTCTGAACCCATGGTCCCAGCAGGCTCGAGGGCAACAGGCCCAAGACAAGTTGCAGGAACTTGTCGCCCCGGTTCACGTGGGCACCGTCGAGCAGCGACGAATCCTCGTCAGTCAACAAGAACATGTCTGCGTGGCACAACCGCGTATCCAGTGAACCGGAATCGGTGAACTGAAAGCACCTGTTCAGCGAACTGAAACCCAAAGTTCAGTGGTCCAAAACCCAGTTCACGGGCCGCCAGCTCCGACACCAACTTAACCTACCAGTATCCCAACCTAACTGAATTCCAACCTAACCTAACCCGACCAAACACTGACCTCACCCAAACCACTCCAACCATAACCTAGCCCAACCCAACTAACCTAACCCGTACCCCAAGCAAACCTAAACCTCGACCTAATGTAACCCAGCCTAACCAACCCAAACCTGCTCTGCCAACCCGATCGTAACACACCAACCCCTTCCCGAACATGACCTATCCAGATCGTGACCTAAGCCAAGAGTTGGTCATTTTCTAACTTCCGGCTCAGGATGTCGAGTAGAGGGTTTCGACACTCACTCTCGCACAATGCAGGCAAGGCTGGAGGGTTGTGGCCAGCCAACCCTACCCCCACCCCTGGCCAGTTCACTGAAACGCCACTGCGGTTCGCTGACAGGGCGTTCCGGTTCAGTGAACGAACCCTGTTCCCGTCTGCATGCGACCCTTCCTTCTCTTTGACATGACACAAATGGGCTTAGAGGGCCAGCTCGGCTTGGTACGCTCCTGGGAAACAACACACTGCCAGACCCCAAAGCACGGGGTCGCGAAGGTCCTATGTTACGATAAAGTGCAACATACGAGCACACGTGACTACTACAGTAGATCTTGCTCTTGTTCTTTCCTCTCTCTCCGTCTGTGTGTCTATCTATATCATCCAATGGAACTCAAGAGTCGAGGCATCAGCCATGTACTTGGATGAGGCAACATGGCCGACATCAGTATTGGTGTTCCAGCAAGTTCCATCATTTAATTACTTGGCGTGCCCTCAAACTCGCTGTCGTGCCTGTCACCTCGTCTGCACCCTTCATTTAGTCTCGCTCTCTCCTCATGTCTGCCCCTTCGGTCAACATGCATCTTGTTTGCCGCATCGCAAGACTTGTTCATGAAGGGCTCCTGCGCCAGTCTATCTTCAAAGCTGACGACATCTTCCTGCGCTGCCAATGGTCCGAACCACCAGGAACTCACATGTTTGGAAGCTTCTCCATGGTGTATGCTTCATGATTTGTTGTGACCCTGAATATGTGCTTTTCATGCACACGTTTGCAGCTGGTGGCAGGTGTTGGGCTTGAACCTGGCATGCATCGAGATCAGCAGAAAAACTAAAGATAATATGGTTGTTTGAATGGCTAGGATAGTGTTTGGAGATGTACTATTGCATAATCGCGTGGTTATATGAGGACTATCAGTATCAGGCATATTGGTGTACTAATTATTCAACTCCTCTATAGCCATAAGTCTCCTCTGTCGCCACAAGGAATCTGGCTGCGCCGATGGCTACATGAGGCGTGGACTTGCCTTGGACATGGATGTGGGATCAGACTGCTCTATCATGCTGCATGCTATTTCGGGGCGTTCTGAGAGACCCTGGCCTGGCTCCATGGCCTCAAGATCGTGTGAGATGGCGACCAAAGCTCGCGAGCTCAGGCACCGGCGGCTTGGACACGCGGGCAGCGCGAATCTATATGAATGAGGCAGATACCTCCAAGTATCGATGCAGTCCGTTGGGGTGACGTTCAACATTTTCAACCACCTGTACTTGGGATGCTGGATTGAGGCTTGCCGGCTGGTGTGTGTTCCAGCGGCTTCAATGCATCGCACTTGTGTCACGCTCAAGACATCCGTTGCGCAGGAATACTGGTTGGGCTGACCATGAACCTACCGTAAGTTATCACCGAGGGTTTGGCAGAACTTTGCAAACTGAATGGGCAAATCGTTGCTCTCAGAACATCAACAAGAGGTCCTGCTGTCCTCAGCAGGTGCAACAATTTATACCCTTGGGTTCGTAACGAATCGATGGGTGCATTATATGACATTTGATAACTGAAAAAGAAGGCTAAGCTGCAAGAAAGGGGAAGGTCGGCAGCCAGAAGCGAATGAGTTACACATTGAAGCCTCGTAACGTACCTGGACCATTGACTTGTAAAGCGGTGGGAACCACACCCAACAGCCCTGTGCCAGCAAATGCTTAGCCCAGATTGCCCGCGATGCCCTGCAGAGATCGTGCTGGCAGAGCAGCTGTTGACGCGACTATTAAAACGTGACCTGTGCAGTTGTGCATCAGGTAGCCTTGAAAGAAAAGCAGGAGGCCGTCAAGACTTCGTGAAAGCAGCACACCCGCAGAAACCGTCGGTGCATGTTTCTTGTACCGAATTAAAGGTTCAAAGTGGCACATGTCCCAAGGCCACAGCCACACACACACACAGTGTACTGCTACACGGACACACGACTCAAGGCATAAAAAAGGCGTACACTGGAAATCCGAGGCCATCTAAAGTCTTCCTCTCCCAACGGCAGCCTACTCCCAAGGGCAGGTTGGTTCGTGGATGTACCTTGGCCTCACGCAGAAATGTTCGGCCATTCGAAATCTGGATAGACCCTTCGCCCCAGCCCTCGGGTTTGCCATGTTTGAAGTTCTCTCTACCCAGAGTTAGCTGGTCAGCACGGGCATCACTGAGCTCTGAGGATCCTGCATTGTACTTCGTCACCCAATCATCTTGGTAAATGTTCGAAGTAGTGCAGCAGATAACGTAGCCCTCTGCATGACGTTCTTTCACAGCCCGAAGCCAATGACAACACCAACAGGGGTGTTTAGAACCAACTGTAGGCTCAAGATCGCTGATCCTTGACTCCAACATGGTATTCCACATCGGATGGCGGTCATGTTTTGGCGGTACCTCCACGTTGTCGCGGCCACACTCTTCACTTGGATGCAGCCAGCATCCGGAGTCAGCACTGATTCCAAACACAGGGATGCCATCGAACCAAACTGTTGCAGCACTTCCCTGGTCCTCTCGTAGTTTGGCTATGACCAGATCGTATGCTTTGCCTCCAGGTATCGAGGCCCCGCTAGTCTTTAAGTAGCGCCGCATATCTTGGAAGCAGTCATAGGAATGATAATAGGTGAATATTAGCCCATTCCCTGCGGCTTCATGGCACATCTGGACGAAAGCTTCATCAGCAGAGAGGTTGTCTGCGGCGAGTTTCACCAGCCAAGAAGCTCGAGTCGCACGGACTGCATCCAAGACGAAATTCCTGTCACATCTTAAGCGCTTTGAGGCATGCTTGAGGGCCACGCCGTTGTTGCGAATGGCAGCCAACACAGTGTGTGCATCGTTCCGCAACTCCGGCGACGCATACTCTAAGGCCATGCCGTTAGTCTCAACAGCTGCCAGGACGACTTCTCTGTCCTCCTTGAACTGCGTGAACTGCAAGGCCTCGCCATTCTGTCGGACAGCGGCTAGCACGATCTCTTTGTCATCCTGAAACTCTTTGAAGGCGAACTTCAAGGCTCGCCCGTCCTGTCGGACTGCAGCCAGGACGACAGTCTTCTCTCTGGCTGCTTGCTTATGCACGAATTTCAAAGCGTAGCCCCTCGACGAAACTGCGGTCTCCACGATATACTTGTCTTGCTGCAATGATGTGGAAGCAAACTGTATCGCAAAACCGTTCTGCTGGACTGCCCAAAACACGACCTCGCCGTCGCCTCGAAGCTTTGCGCTCGCATATCGCAAAGCGCAGCCATTTTGTTTCACTGCCCGCGTGACTATCTCCTTGTCTAGCTTCATGGCATCTACTAGGTGTTGCAATGCGCAGCCACGATGGCCGACTGAATCCAAGACACACTCCTTGTTGGTCTGCAAATTTTCAGGCAGGAACTGAATGGCGAACATTTCGGGACCGTCGAAATTCGGCATATCTGCAGCGCGCTGCAACGATGTATCGGCTGCTGCAACGATGTCCTTGTTTTGAAGGATGCTTTCCGGTGCGTACTCCAGGAGATAGCCGTTTATCTCCACTCCAAGCATGAAGAAGTTTTGATCGTGAAGCAATCGTTCGTCTGCAAACTGAATTGAATTGTAGTCGGCTGAGAGTGCAGTGAGCACAATATCTTGCTTGCGTCTAAGGCCCTCAGATGCAAACTCTAAGGCAATGCCAGTTTTGCGGACCGCTGCCATTACACATTCAGTGTCTTCTCGCATTTCTTTTGGAGCGAACTGCAATGCAAGTCCGTCCTGCAGAACTGCTGCCATGACAATCTCGCGATCCACCCGTAGATTTTCCGGTACAAACTGCAATGCGAGGCCGTGCTGACTGACTGCATCTGTGACAAGGTCTTTGTCGTTTCGCAGCTCCTCCGATGCAAAACGTAAGGCCCATGGGCCTTGCCTGGCAGCAGCTACAAAAATCTCTCTGTCTCCTTGCAGTTGGAAGAATGCGAATTTCAAGGCAAAGGCATCCTGAGTGACAGCGGCCAATACAACTTCTCTGTCCCTCTGTAAAGATTGGGAGGCAAACTGCAGTGCACGTCCGTTCTGGGTGACTGCAGCGACAACCACACTCTTGTTTGCACACATTCGCTTCAAGCTGTATTCCAGAGTCATGCCATTGTGCTGGACGGCGGCCATTACAATTTCATCATTTCCCTGATGGAGGGGGGCGTACTGCAAAACCTTGGAGTTTTCCTGGACTGCACTGAGGACGAACTTTGCATCCTTTCGCAACCTTGAGGAAAAGTACTGAAAAGCCAAATAGTTTAAACGGACTGCGGCCATAGCAAACTCCACATTGTTCTTTAGGTTCTTTGATGCGAAGTCCATAGCTGTCTCGAGATTCTGCTGAGCTGCGGCCAATATGATGCGCTGGCAGTTCTTGCACTCTTCCGCAGCAAAGTGCAGGGCTTGCCAGTTGTTGACAACCGCATCAAGCACAATGCTTTCGTCGCTTCTCAGCTCCTCCCCAGCATATTCTAGTGCACGCCCATTCTGCTGGACTGCGGATCTTACAATTTCTGCGTCCAGTGCCAGCTGCTCGTCTGCGAACTCCAGGGCAGTGCCGTCTTGCTTGACCGCTCGACGGACGATTTCCCTGTCCTTTCGTAAGGTCTCGGAGGCAAATTGCAATGCTTGCGGGTCTTGCCCCACTGCTAGCAAAACAACGTCCCTGTCATTTCTGAGCTCTGCTGGCGCATCGCCAAGTGCCATTCCGTTTTCGCGAACCATATGCATGACTGCCGGTTTCACCGACAGCACGTCAAGCCGTGGCTCGACCGGTTCGCTGGCCTCGCTCTCAAGAGGTGGCAGGGATCTTCGCTTTGCACGTGCTTGCTTACCTACTTGCCTTGCAACGTCCCAAGAACCGCGGCGGGCGGTCGACGGGCCATCCCATGAACTGCGGCGTGCATCAGCCGACGCCATTACAGCCAGAAAACAGAGAGTTGCATTCTTCTTAGAAAGAGCTGTCTTTCGCGCTGCTTCTTAGGTTTCCTGGGCTGTTGGCATGGAGTCGCGGGCCAATCTAGAGCCAGGGCTCAAGGCACTTGCAAGGAAGTGCATGGAAGTGCCCCCTCAATCCCATTCCATTCCATCATCCCATGAAACGGAGGCAGGGGTTTAAGCCGTTGTAAGGACACAGCCCGCTGCCGCTTGCATAGAGGAAGCGGAAAAGGGGGCTCTTCAATGTCAATGTACCGAAACCTATCAAACTTTTGGTCGCGGCAAATAAGCAATGCTCGAAGAAAACAAACACTGAATCACCCCCAGATTCCGTTTTGCATGTAAGCCGAGGCAAAACACACAAGCTGCCTGATTATTCACCCTCGAGTTTTCTGACATCTACCGAGGGCCAAGGCTTTTAAGACAGGCTCCCGGCCTAGACTTCCAGGCTGGGAAGTCTGTCGGAAGAGGCAGCTCTATCATGGTGTACTGGGCACAGAGCCTCCGCGACATGGAAGGCTGAAAGGACCAGGCTGCACGGGCTAACGTGGCCGTGCTGGGTCTCTTGCGTAACGTCGCTCCACCGCTGGGGCATGGTAAAGCCATGGTAGAGCAAATAATCTGCCTGCGACACAAGGACATCGTTGCCGGCTTTTTGCGTTCTGGTGGCTCAGATCCACCACTCGTTTCTTCGCGCGGCAACTGAGATCCAGGCATTGGAACGAACACCATAGCCCACGGTTACGGCCTCGACCGTGCGGGTCTTTACACTCCATGTCGGACAAAGTGCAACTCGCCAGAAACTTGCCGATGGCACAAAACGGCCGAAGCACACTCTGGATGCCTCATCAACATCACTACCCGCTCCTGCTGTTGCAATATAAGTTCCGCGATAAGTTAGCAATGTTAGTAATTATAGTACCTGCAAAATCATGCTACAGCATATCAGTATTTGCCACGAGCTGTCACTCCCCGCTCTGGGCTGCCAGGCTGTGTTGGCTGGCAAAACCTCCTTAGCCTTCAGCGTCACTGCTGCAGAGTCGGCATCCTGGGCTTCGCTTCCAGGTTTCATCAGCTGTTTGTGGTAGTTTTGTGTAAGCATACACTATAAATAAATATAATATTACATTATGCTATAAGTTCTGAAATATTATATGACTTTACATTAAACTATACTATATGATGCTATGTCATATCTTTTCGGACCCCATATTTGCGGCATTCCTGTTTTTGATGTTTTCAAATTTTGACTAACGCTGAATTACACCCCTACTAGAGGTGAACAGTAATGTCCTTACCTCCAGGTGTGTATGTACATATGAAGAATATAAGTATATACAGCCATATACACACATGCAATGATGCTTCTCAAACATAAATTTAAACAGGTTCAACTTAAGTTTCGAAAATGGCTTATGGGCAAGAAGCTTGAATCACTTGGTTCTTGGCAGATCAAGGCCCTCAGGCCCCAAAACTACTGCCGCTAGCTCTGGCACGGGGGGGATGCAACATGAGTGGCTAGGGCGGGAGGGCTCATGCCAGATCGGCAATCTCGCGGAATGCATGAAGATCTAGGTGTCAATCTAAGTTCAAGGTTACATTTACATACCACAAGCTGCTGACTGCATCTTGCGACACATTCATATCGGGCCATGACTTTTGTACTTTGGAGTATGGCCAAAGGCTGTCAAGAGGGTTTTGCCGAGGGGTTTGGCGGGCATATGGTGCAAGCCCCCTTGCCCACGCGGCCGCAGGGGAAAGTTTCCGGGGGGAGCCTGTATGATGCGAGGCATGTGACTAGAACCAGCATCGTAATGGTCTGTATGAATGGCTCGATGTCCAAGTGCATGAAATGTTGGAAAGACTCGCCTGCTGTTTGGCGAGTTAGCCATGTATCACACATGAAACTCCATCTACATCAAGCGCGTGCGGAAAGGCATCTGATGCAAATGGTGAAGGCAGACCCGTGATGACTGCTCCATTACGATTGCCAATTTGGCATGGGGCGTCTCTGATACATGCAGTGCGCCTGTAAGCCGCATCATGTCAATATGGTCTTGGTAAAGCCCGCGACAAAGTTTACCGTTAATATTATGGGTTTCTCGCTACATCATTTCATCCAAGAATCCCTATGAATTCTGTTAAGCATATTCCCAACTCTCTAATGTGGAACATGATCCCATACATTGCCCATCTCTTCAAACGGCAGCACAGCCGAACGACAGTGCACATGGGCAAGGTACTTCTCCTAGAACTGATTGGGGTCGTATGTGCGCGTACACTAACATATATAAATAAATAAAAATATATATATATATGCATGAGCACATAATGTGTCTGGATGACAGTGACTCAGTCACCTTATGACCAGAAGGGGTGAACGAGGACATATCGACACATGCAATGCCTAATGTTGCAGATAGATTCGCGGAGGTTCCCATACACCACAATGGTAGCAAATACCAACTCCTTGCAATATGGCTTGGCTATTTCCTGACCCTTCCTATAAGGACACCGGGACTCCTGGACTTCGAATTGATCGCTATTCCTGGCATGTTAATGGATTAACATTGTAGCTATCAGGAACCATACAACAACCTCCATATGATGATTGCCTTTGGAGGTTGTACAGTTGTCAGCTATGTGGCATGGCTTGTGTGGGAACCTCATATATTACAATGAGCAGCTCTGCACGCAGGGCTCCAGATGCGAGAAACATGTTGGACTGGGAAACCCCGGAAGGGGAGATACACAGCAACAACGACTGCAAAAGATGATAAGTCTCTGAGTAAGCCTTTCCCAAACAAGCTAACGTTCGTACGAAACATTGTATGGGAAATGAAGGCAGCAAAGACCTTATATATTACGGTATACACATGGATCCGATAACACGATTCAACTGGTCGCCTGCACGTAGCTTTTAAATGATTGGAACTGCCTGGGTAGCTTGCCTGTCAGGCTTAACTGTTCATGTGTTACAGATATGCGGAAGTCTCTATTCAAAATCACGTGCTACCAAACACATGATTTTATCCATGGGAACTCCAAAATGAAAGTTAGTTTAGAAGCATATTCCCGACTGAATAGGCGCCCATATCAAGCATGAATAACAGGGTTACGCGGCATTGAGAACCATGTTTTTGCAGACCATTATAAGTTCTTTTAAACGAAAATTAATGGGAAACAACGTTTTGGCTGGAAAATATGGGGCCTGCCATGTGTTGCACTGTTACACTCTTAAAATAATTAAACATATCACATTACATGGTGTCATAATGTAGTATGTTGAAAATACATTCTGTCATATCATGTTGTATATCACATTGTTAAATTCTGTCATATTATACAACGGTATGTTATGTTACATTATATTACGGTATGCTTTACAATAATATATAAATGTACTATAAGTGTGTCTGCATGTATAGACACACGATTCTTCTTTTGTTCCTGCTTTTGTAATATACGTATACATATATGTACTTTCTAACATGTAGTACGAGTAGAGCCGTGGTTTCGGGACAACGTGTGCCAATGCAGTCTGAGAGTGTGAAGACCAGAATCTCTCTCTCTCACCGCTTTGACGAGGTTCCAGCAGCATCAACAAAGAACCAACCCATCTCATCTGTGCTGTAGGCTGCCCGGCGTATGAGATGTTCGTTCTTGATCCTCGTTCCTGCCATCAATGCGGGACTACAGCCTCTCAACCTCTGAAATCTTGCGCTCAAATCACAACACAACCTGCAACACCCGCGCGGGACCATGACATGCCACTTATTTACTACTGTTATTTTTTTGCACCCAGAGGGTCTAGCAGCGCCAGGCAATGCGTGAGGGCTGAGCGGCCCCGCACTACCATTAGCCTCAGTATTCTATTACCAAAAGCATCCTGGGAATATCTGGGAATGCTGATGTCTTTGTTTATTCCAATGCTACAGTGGCGATAACTAACACCAGAATGGCCTCAGGAGCTCGGGTATATCATGCAGGGTCGCCAGACGTAGAATATTATCAAGCAAGGCAGAGAAATACAACGTTATCGTACAAGCTAATGTGTTGTATGATTCCAATGCTAAGAATGATCGAACCTTTGCAAACCAAATATTTCGCCAACAGTTTCTAATCTCGCTCTACTATCCCCCACTCACCCATTGCCGCGGATGACCGAGGTTTCTCGAAGATCGGACCTGGAACTTGGTCAGGTCGTCGTAGGAGTGCAGAGCTTCCCTGCATCCACATGCGGCTTGCAGCTCGAGCAAGCCGTCTCCGGTCAACATGTTCCCGTGAGGATGACAAGATCTATCGTGGCGGGATCGTGCGACCACAGCAATGGCAAGCGTGGCTTTGGGTTTCATGCTTCCTGACATTCTTACAAGTATCAGTGTTGACGGTACGTACTAGTACAAGCAGGACCTGTCTTGTGTCTGTGTGTGCATGTGAGCATCTGATGCCAAGTAGCTCCGGCATCGGCAGATGGTGGTCGACCAAATCAATGAGCGGCCTGGAATGGGAGCATGCTCGCCCTCGACAAAACACGACTTCGTGCTCCGAGAAAGGATCACATGTACGACGAGTACCCTTCATCTTAAAGAGAACCCTGCTCTACCCCTCTCCTTGTCTGCAGGCTGTGAAAAAAAGAAGAGTTACACAAATGCATAAACACTCCCTCGCCGACTTTTCGCCTGCAGGTATGCCATGCACATGATCAAGCGAAGTCGACCAGTGGCTGTTGTCCCTTGATCCGAACAACAAACTTGGAAGGGCCGGGCGGCCGGCCCTGCGCGAGAATGCTCGGCCAACTGAGGTGTGAGCATGATTGCCAGCTGCGGAGAGGTTTGGCCTCGTCAATTTGCGGGTTCAGGTATTGTTGCCACTACGGCAACAATCATGTTTTCGTCGGCTTGACGCCTGCCTGGTGCCAGTCTACCCACACACACCCACACACGTAGGCTTGGCGAGAACTGATGAGGCGNNGACAGATTACAGCAACCGTACAGATTCATTGAGGCCGAGGATGAAAACAACAGCGTTTTGGGGTGCTTTGGGCTGGCCATGCTTGCAGGTTCAGGTGGTTGATCAGACCACCCCTCCCCTGTCTTGGAATAGCTTCGTTGGCACAAGTATCCAAGACAGGCCTGTGCCCCCTGCGCATACTGAACGCCATGTCCAGGCGTTTACACACACACAGGCCCGGGATAAGCCGGGCTGCAGCAAAAGGTGCTTGACCGGCCCAAGCGGAGGCCCAACATCTGTTTTTTAAGGTGAGGCTTGGGTCCTGGCCCCCGGTTGCGAGGCTAGGGTCCTGGCCTCCTGCTGTCGTCGCGTGAGGCTTGGGTCCTGGCCTCCTGCTGTCGTCGCGTGAGGCTTGGGTCCTGGCCTCTTCTCGTCACTGAGGCTTGGGTCCTGGTCTCCTGCTGTCGTCGTGTGAGGCTTGGGTCCTGGCCTCCTGTAATGTGGAAGCTACTCGCGCCAAATCTAGCGTTTCCACACATACACATATGTCCGGAATAGACCGGGCTGCAGCACCATGCTTGACTGGCCCAAGCGGAAGCCGAACACAACAGAAAGAGTTTAAGCTCGAAAACTTGACTGCATGGATGTGGCATGAAAACACCGGTCACAACCTTGCAGCCTCAGACTACATGCCTTCCAACCTTCGAAAAGGAACCCCAACAAGTTACACTTCTAGGGAAGCCTCCTGCGCGCATGCACTCATGAGCACATGGTCACGCACGCAATCACTTGCAGACCCTCGCTGCCTCAAACCTGCCTGAGTCGAGAGACCTGAACCCTTTCTCAAGAAAGCCCTGCATATGCAGTCGCTCTAACAACAAGCGTCGACCCTTGCGCCAGTTCCAGAATGAGCAAAGTGAAAAGCTTCGGAAGGCTGCTGCAAATGATGCCTGACCTGTGGTGATGATCAACCTTATGTCTTTGAAAGTCTGCTCGTCAACGCCCCACATCCGCTATCGCGGGCTCCGGCGTTGCCGGCTGTGGTCTGGCCCCATGTCGGGAGATGCCAGAACGGACACTCTTAGGCTTGGCGAGAACTGATGAGGCGA